CGGCTTGAAGAGCGACACCACGGACATAGGAGGTCTCTTGGGCCCCGACTTAGGCGCCGCGCACGACGAGCTCACGGCCATGGTCAGTCGGAGTCTTCATCCTCATCTCATCCCCGACACGGCCACGCTGCACCATGGAATGACGGGCAGCTTGAAGCAAGAGCCACCGTACACCGCTGCTAGTCATCCCTTCAGCATCACCAGGTTACTACCAGGCGCCACAGCCGGCACGTCCCCGGGCGCTCAGGACACCAAGCCGCCCGAGATGAAGATGTACGAGCTACATCAAAGTTACACGAACTTCGGCTCGTCGCATCATCCGCACGCGCACTCCGCTCCCCCGAGTCACCATCATCACAACGGAATGCACACGGGCTCGAACACCGCTCCCATGCACAACATGACCAACCACCATCACCAGGAGTATTACCAGAGTCCGCTCTACCATCACGCGACCAGTGTGGCCAGCAGTAGCGCGCCACCCCCGCCGACCGTCGCTTCCGCTGTGCCCGGCTTGTGACACCACGCTACACACCCCTACGCCCTGGCCTGAGTCGCTGCTGCCGCGGCCTACGCCGCCAACACTGCCACTCCGGCCACCGTCACTGCCGATCTCGTTCTTCATCATCATCACCATCCGTCGGCGTCTTCCGTCTCGTCGTCGTCGTCCTCCTCCTCCTCATCATCCTCCTCGTCGTTGCCCTGCCCGGCGACCACCCAGCCGTCCGCCGTCCAGGACTCGCCCGCGTCTGTCCGACCGTCGCCTGCTGGGCAACGACGTCGACGCCGCTGCGACGAGAACCCGCCGCCGGACGACGCCTGCTGGCATGCGAACGAGGAGGAGTACGACGACGAGGAGGAGGACGAAGAGGAGGAAGAGGACATCGTGTGAACGAGGAGGACTTTGATCGAGGTATGAGGACAACCAGCGTCCGCGGGACTCTTGCGAACGTAGAGCGCTCTTTTACCCTTCGATCGTCGCGATCATGCCACCTGGTCGTTCGATTCGCCGGACCGGACGGGGGTTCAAACGGGGATGTTCGCGCGAGGTTAGGCGTGATACACACTGTCGGTCAGGTTCGATCGGATGTTCTTCGATTGCTTACAATGTACGTGTTCACGCTGTGAATCCTGACCTGGGTTTGGTACGATCTCGCTGTATTTTCTTTCATTGGAAACAAAAGACGGGGGAAGAATTTTTCATGGATCGATAGAGTGTATCGGGTCTTATAGTAGCGTAGGCTGATCAGGGGTTGTTAATGTTTAAGATGTTTCTTTCATTTCTTGAGGGCTGGCTCGGAGAGGTAATTTTTGGCTGAGATTTTGTGCAATAAGGATTTGAGTCCTTTCGGTAGGGTATCTGGAATTCGTCGAGCTCATCTTTCGTTGCTATCTTTGGTAGAGATATGTTCGATTGTGTCCTGAAATTGAGTAGAGTCTTTATTCAATTTTCTTTTCATTCTGTTTTTATGAAATCGCCGTTATAAATTTCTGCTTAGACTGCGGTCTAATGTCTTGGATTTGCAGAAGCTCATGCTAATCGAAGCTTCGGCAAACAGAAACTTGAAATAATGGAGATCGCGCGAAGAAATTTTTCTTTCGGTTGCATTGAAATGGGAATTTTAATAACTTAACCATCGGATGGTAGAATGATTTGAGTCGGATAAAAGGCGTATATAAATTGTTCCTATTCCACGAATCGTAGCAGCTGACACACAGTATCAGTGTGTCTTTAACCCCTGATGAAACCAGCTACAATGATGGCGAGACGTTGGAAACAAATTCCTACTGGACATGGTTCAAAAAGCATTAAAGCTACTGATGATAATAGTTACTCGATGACTCAGTTCCGCCGTCGAACGGCGAACCAAATTTCCATTTGCTTCTAGTTTCTGCGTAGTAGTTCACAGAAGTTTGTTCTCTAGTCTGAATTTTCGATTTGCGTAGAAAGATCAGAGCGCAGCGAATGAAATTTTCGTCTGAGCGTGAAAGTATAAACATCAGCAGTCGGATTACGCAGTACTTGCGGCGATTTATCGACGTCTGAGACGCAGCCGTGAGTCGGAGAGACACATTTTAGCCGCGTTCGCGTAACATTAAAAATTATCGGGAATAATGAAGTCAAACCGATTAGCTCCGTCTTTTAGAATTCTCGAAACATTTCCGTTGAAACGCTCGTCTCGGGTTTTTTTTCAGTTTGAACGTATAATATTAATTTTCGATTTTCGTTCCACTAAGACGATCGCATCGACGAATAAACGAACGGTTCACTTTTCGGTCTTGAAATTTGGAGTAGCCTGAATCTCGAGTGTCTGACGACGACAGACACTTTTCACTTTGCTTTCTATTGAAAGAATCGGACACAAGGAAGCGTTTAATGCTCTCCTCTCGCTTGACGTCTTGAAATTTAAGGAATACCGAGTAACGCATCGCTTTTAACGAGCAGTTAACCAGAGCGACAAGCCTGAAAAACTACCGGTCAACACATTTCCGGAGAATTTGTTAAAACCTTAACCCTGGAAAGACGAAGAATAATTCAAAAATCATATTACCGCGTGATGGTTCAAGAAAATTATTTATTTTCGCTTGCGTCTTCCGGAAGAAGCGTTTGGAAATGAACCGTCAGGTAGTGGATGAATTACTGAGTCTCGAGGTTCAATCTTTCCAAGGTTAATTCTGAACATTTAGAGGTCTGTCGCGCGGAAAGTGTCTTTCTCGACTGCGAATATTTGATAACAGTCTTCGATACTCGTTGAACGCGAAGCTTGTCGGAATTTAGTACCATTTGAAATTTGTACGATTTTTAATTTAATTTGCACAATTTTTAACTTAGTTTGTACAATTTTTAGTTTAATTTGTACAATTTTTAATTTAGCTTGTAAATTTCTTAATTTAATTCGCACAATTTTTAATTTAATTTTTATACTTGTTAATTTTACAACCAGAATGAACGTACCATTCTTGGTCTTTGATAAACCATTAAAAAACGATAATTATAGAAAAAAGGGTGAATAAAACATTCTCTAAATTTCTCTACAAATAAAAACAATTAATAATTCACATGTACGATCCACGGTCCAGCGAGGATCAACGCGAATCGGAAGTTGCGACGTGATTTACAGATCTTTCCAAGCATATCGCTCGACGAGAATGACAGAAAGAAACCGTGGAAAGGAAGAACTAAAAGAAACGAAGAAAAACGGGATAGAGGAACGGGTAATCGGGACGCCAATCAAGCGTCGTCTTTGAGTGTCTGACTCACGGTCGCGCGCAGATATGCGAGCGCAATCTAGGGGGAGAGAACGATGAGAAGTCGGCCTGGAGACGCGCGATTAGACCAACGACGCGTCGCGTTCCTTTGGGATCTTCCAGTTAGATTTAGGCGAAATGTGATCTGATTATTACACTGCTGGATCTTTCTTTCAAAAGCAACAAATAACTCGAAGAAGTTAAAATTAACTAGATACAAACTTCTTCTCTTAAGAATTTGAGTAAGTTAATCCTTCGAGGACTATAATTTCAATTACATCCTAATCTCTAGTTATTTAAAAAATTCAATTTCTTGAAGATATTCGTCCTCGAAAGGTTAAAAATAAAAGAACGTTCTTATATCCTCACGAATTTCAATATTATCTCTCTATTTTATATTCTATGCGATGGTAATTACAAATTGCTTTTCGGTGTTTTGAACTGTGATCTGTAAATCGAGGTGATCCCATTATGTTTTAATTGACAATTATCATTAACCCTTTGAACATAATGTTTCTCGTTGTAGGTGATAGCTAAATGTTCATTATTTTCTGATGAAATCGATCATATTTTTTGCAACTAACAGTCAAAAAACAATGCTGCATAAATTGAGGTATAGGATTATTTCATTTGAATGTTTCATGTGTTAATATATTATACAGAATTTAATATAGAATTTTATAATCTCTGTGTTGAAACAAATGGTGATTGAGGGTAGAGGGTTAACATCTGGTAGGTTACAGTCAAATCGAGGTTCACATTTCACTCGTCGATCTTGACGTTCAGATCACATTTTGCTCAAATGTGCTCGCGTCGCGTCGCGACGGTTTTTAGCCCCCGCAAACCACCGACGCGCGTCGGTTTTCTGTGATACGCGACAACGATTGCACGAGGCGATTCTGAGTAGCCCCGCGGACTCACCCCTTGCTCCACGACCCTTCGGAGTCCGTCCCCGTTTCGAGTTTTCGTTCCGTCGCGCGGACGAAGAACCCTCGCGATTTCTAGATAGAGCTGTCATTCGCGAATAGACTGTGGATTTTTATGCGTGTATCAGAAATTTGAGAGTGTAACGTTTCATAGAATGCAGAAAACACTAAAAGATACATCAAATGTTCGAAGTGCAGTAATTTTTATTATTTTAGGTAGCAACGTAACTAAATTTGGTTGTAGATATGAACATGTTTCGATTCATAAAATTTAGTTAAGGGCCCTTGAAAACGTGCATAGTATTTTAAACATATGAAAATGCAACGTTGCACAGTATGCACAAGGCTCCAGAAGGTACATAAAATCTTACAAGTGTAGTACTTTCTATAACGTTAGATAGCAACGTAAATAAATTCAGTCGCAAGTATGAACGTGTTCCAATGTTTACAGTTTAATTACGAGCTTTTAAAAATGCATGCAAAGCAGCATTTATGTGACAACCCAATATTTGCCACGACAAAACATTCTCTATCGCAATCCTCTTTTCTTCATTGTATGCTTGAAAAGTTGAATTTGCATGAAGATCTGTAGTCTACTCGCGAGGTACCCGAATACTCGAATGTCTCACACATTCGGTAAAAGGTACCAGCCCAGTTTACAATCCCCGACGGGGTTGCTGACCATGGAATCGAGGGCGGGAAGCTTGCACGGGCTTTTGAGACGCGAACGGAGCCAGGTTCCTCCTCTTTGACCTCTGTAGAACGCGAGACGATCGATTTGTTAATGTTGCTCCAGATTGACGGACAATCGAGGATGTTTCTTCGTAAATGTTAAATAGAGTACATTAAGTCGGATGTTTTGGTTTGAATTTCTCCAATGTATTGCATTCGATATGATATTCAAATTGACAGTTGTGTGGCTGTTGAAACTGAAATTTTAATGGAACATTCTTAGACATATGACAGTTAGTTAATGTAGACGATTTACTGAGAAACCATCCATAGACTTATAAATCAGAAACGTCTACAAAGTCTCTCAACCTCGACCAGCCTTTAGGGGAGAATTTTCGAATCGTGTCGATGGTTGGACGTTTCGGACGCCGATCGAGTTTGAATAGGACCAAACCGGTTCTCTGGATGTTGATTAAGGTTTATTCGGAATATCTTAAGTATTGACTGTTAACTGTTAACGGTGGAGAGGCCAGGAGCCATTCGACGAGAGTAGACAGGAATAGGGTTAAAGATTTCAGGGATTTTCTAGGGGAACCGAGAAATTCACTGTTTAGAATTTAGGAGTTTAAAGTGTTAAACGTTCTAGAGAGAAACATTGTTTTTTGTTTTATTCTGTTTGTTAATTAATTCGAGTTTCTCGGTGCAACTTTCAAGGTGATACGCGAAATAATCTACCTCTTCAAAAGCAATATTCGGATCGACCCACGTAAACAGTGAAACTAAACTTAAATCAATGAAACAATCAGTCGTTCCTTCACGCGTGATAACCTCAATTATCTCAAACATTCGCTTCCGAAACCAGTGTCCAAACTTTCATGTACAAAGAGACAGATTAGGATCAGTGCAAACATTTTGCGTTTTCCGATAAACAGTCTCGTGTAATCGACGTTTCCTTTCGAATCGAAATCTCACTGTTTTTCTCAATACGATTTAAATTGATTAACTCCTTGCCCTTATAACATGTCAGACTCATGAGGATTTGAAACGAAATTTAACAAATGTAAGTATTACTCAACCCTTGTGAATTCAAATGAAACATTGCTCTTTCTGTTATCAACGATTATACTCTATAGCAAACACAGACGGTAGGATATATCCAGAATTTTCCTCTGTTTTTACTAAATTATTAGTGGCAAAGTAATCGGACACAATTGAGGAATAAGTAATAGGACAAGGGGCTGTCCGTACTTTATCGCTAAACAATCGGTTCGATGACTCACCGTCGGATCGATGAATACTCGGTTGTTACGCGGAGATTTCAAAGAACGCGATCGGCGCGGCGCCGATCTCGCGCGACTCAACGTTTTCTTATCCTCCCGTGGTTGTCGCAACGGTGTTCTGACTCACTCAGGTCGTGCCGGCGCGAGGAAAAGCGGAAAAAGTGCGCGGCGTGCACACAATCGGCCGACGAGTGTGTTTATCGACGGCGTTAGATCGATACTAGAAGCCGATAGGAAAGGTCTGTTTTAGGATTATCTGTTCCTGACGCATTCCTCCTCTTCTCCGTCTGTCGTTCTGTCGTCGGTCGTTGATCTCTTCGATCGACGCGCGTCTCCATTCTCTCCCGGCGACTCGTTATCGCCGGCAGCGCGCAATTGTTCGCGCTGCTCGCATCGAAAGGTTCGCCAATTAGGCTTTATCTTCGATCGGGATCCCCGCCGATAAGCGGAAATCAGAGTTTCCCTCGGAGACGCAGCTTTATTTCCGATCGACGACGTTTCGTACTCTTCGCAAAGCGACGTTGTTGCACTTATAATTGACATTTCAACCGTCTTTGACGGAGACGCTCTCGAATGAGGAAAATGTTGACCCTTCACTCAGTCTGTTTTGCAATTGTGCACGTTTTCACTGTTTTATGATTTAATGATCTGATAATGTAATGGTTTAATGATTCGATAATGTAATAATTTAATGCATTGATAATGCAACGACTTAACGATTTAATGATTTATTAGAACTGAAACAGAGTTCTATCTTTTTGCGTGCACACTTCGAATATGAAGAATTTATAACAGAAAAGTAACGTTCAACTTGAACTCAAGGGAATAGTGACATTCATTGCTAATTTCTGTCTGAAGTCTTTGTCACAAGTTCGACGCGACATCGTAAGGCAAGGGGTTAATCGCTGTAGAATTCGTAACTTCGTTTCTGAACGACTTCGAGTCATTGATGAACAATGTACGCTTCGCCCGATGAATATCTATTGATTCCCGAGGAAGTGATTCTTTTGTAACAAGATTTTGGGATTTCTAATAGGAAGATTGCTCTGGTACACTGTTTGTCATGTGATAATAGTTAGTTTCTGCTGTTGATATGATATGGTCATTTCGAACTACTCTGAACTGTGTCCAGTTGGTCCCGGGGAATGATGAATTCTACAAATATATGTTTAATCGGGCGCCGTAGTCATTGTTAATGGTCAGCAGCTCGTGTGGCAGCTTTTAACTGGTTCACAGTCACGCGGAAATCGTTGTCCCCGCTTGGGTTTCTCTTTGTCGTCAGCGACTCGCTTGGCTTCTGGCTACTTTTAACCGGCAATGTTGACGGTCCTTCCATATTGTGCTCTATTGCTGTGCACACACGCCGGTTGCAACACCGAGGAACGTGAAGTAATGAAGATGCATTCAACGTTAGAAGCCGCAATTAAATATTCGTTGAGTAACCCGGCTGGTAGAGATTCTTTTGCCATCATAGTTATAATTTCCCATTCGCGGGTTGACGGCTAAGTTCATTTTCTTTTGGACAGCTTGCCCAATCTTCTGTCTGATCGCCTGTAAATAAATGGATTCGCAGCATTGATTGGATTTTCCGTTTAACATACCTTATGTTATGATTCCGTTTCTTTGGTTCCTTTATCAAAACAGTATTCTCCTAACACGATAATCTTGGAAAAGAACTTCTTGCCGATTCACTCACGAATGTTGGACAAAACTATTCTATTTTCTTCGTGTTTCCTTGGCGATGCAATTTTCGTGTATCATAAAGTTAAGAGACGGAACTATATAAATAAGGATCAAATTTGTTCCTCGCTGTTGCGTATAATTAACGAAAATCGATTTGAAATTTGCCTTCCTCGTTCTTGCGCAGCGATAAATATGCGCTTCTCGAAGTTTTCTCGATCAAGTTAATGTATACACGTCGAAACAAGGGGTATTGGAAGAAAGTGCATCGTTCTTGTTTAATTATTGGACCGAAGGTAACGTTTACACTACGATACAGGAACAGATATCGCGAACAGACACATCTAGAACTCGAACGAAACGAACGACCCACGGTTTCGTGAATTCTAACCGAAATGACTGAAACATCTGTTTTCAAACATCCCGTACAGATGCAAAATGCTTCTCCCATTCGATATTTCGTTCTCCAACCGGGTGCTACGCGCGAACACCTTCGAACACCGAAACGACTCGATTCCTTGAAGCGATTTAGATCGTTCGAGGGGTAAGAGGGAGGATAAGAGAGAGGAGCGTTCGCACGGAGGAAGCCCGCCGATAGATCGAAGTCGATGGAAAGGGCAGTCGATGGCCGACCCCGGAACGCGAAAGCGTCGGCGTAGAGCGAAAATTGTGATAATCCGTGAGAATAAGTCTAAATTAATGAACGTAGGCTTGCAATGACGCCTGTATAACCCGCGTAGAGGTGCGCATTCGTATCGGAGTCGGGCGAAACGCGATCGAATTATCAGACTGCTCGATTTTCCCGTGAAACCGGCGTCCCTCGAAGTGGCTTGAACCTTGCGTTAGCAACCGGGTAGCCATTTTTCTGTTTTCTTCCACGCGATTTGTTACATTCTTACGAAAATTCGACAAAATCGCATCGATCCTCAATTTACTTGACGCTCTCGCGGCGATTTGTGCCCCGAAGATGACCAATTCGCGCACGAACATTGCAATATTCGAGTTTGAAGAAACATGAACGCGTCAGTTGCTAACGCGAGGGTTGAAGAAACAAGAAGATTCTTCCGTCGAGAATTGGAATAAGTTAAAAGTAAGGTAACACGACTCTTAAACTCCTGTAAAGTGTTACTTTATTTTTCTATTTCGAATTCTACGCGCTCGAGGACGTAACGCCCGCAGTCTGCTAATTATATTGGAACGATTGAAACGTAACGAACTGACAAGTAACTTGATTCGGCGATAAACGATCTCCCGCAATCTCCGATTGTCGCCGGTCTAAATTTGAAACCGACGCGATCACGGTGATTCACGATGAATAATTACAGACAACAGTTCGCCAAAGAAAAGTTGCATTTCAATCGTGAATCTTGGTACACGTTCCGTGCAACTCCGTATTCGTACATTGTACTCGAAACAGACAGACACGCTTGAACACACGTGAACGAACACGACACACATACTTACATGAGACATACGAGAATAAGGAAATCGTAAACGAAAGGAATCCTGTTGAAAGAGAAAAAGCGTCACGCAGGACACGTCCAGTGTTTTTTGTATGATACGTGTAGATAGCCGCACAACGTAAACGCGTATGATTGTACAATATTATATATGTTACAGAGAGTATATATATATATAAAATTATAAATATAAATATATAAATAAATGGAGTCTTTAAACGATACATTATGTTAGGTATATATGTATGATATATATACATATATATTATATAAATAATAGAGAAAATGTGAGCGACTGACAAAAGGGGGGGAAGAGTGAGAGCGAGCGAGAGGAAAAACATTGTACGTGTATTTCAAAAATGTCTCAAACGGCAGCTGGATCGTCCGGGATAAATCCGCCCCGATTATTCGAGGGTTGCTTTCGAAACACGCCCCTATAAGAGAGACGTCCTGTAAATAGAGAATAT